AGGTTGTTGTCTATGTTTAATGTTTATGGAGGGTTGTTGTCTTATAAGTTTGTGATTTATGAGAGGTTTTTTGTTGTCTTATTGTTTAAATGATTTATGAAGAGGTTGTATGTCTTATTGTTTTGATTATGAGAGGTTGTTGTCTTATTGTTTATGATTTATGAAGAGGTTGTTGTCTTATAGTTTATTGATTTATGATTTATGAAGAGGTTGTTGTCTTAATTGTTTTTATGGCTTATGATTATATAGCGAGGAATGAGCGCGCAGCTCTTGATTAACGAGATTGGATCTCACCGTATGAACTTCGCACGCATAGGTAGGGATACACCTCCGAGGTTCTGTTCGGTTCGATCCGAGAGTTGTGCGGGTGTAGAGAGAGCTGTCAGATCATATTCTGGCCGCCACATCTCTCTCGAAGTGGAATATACTCACTCTCATGAGGATAGTATAATATATGATGGAGAGGTCTGTTATTGTTGCGGAGTTCAGAGTGGAATACTCTCTTCATGGAGACTTGAGGGAGGTCGTTATTTGGTGAGCTAGGTCGTCTCACTCGATCTGTAAATGATTAGATTGAGGATAGGTTGTTAACGTATTGGGAAGCTCTCGAGTATTATTATATTAAGACATGATACACTATATATTATATGAATGTGTACTCGCCAGAGGTAGCGTGAGGATTGGTGTGTGTGTATATATTATTATATGAGTGTAGTGACTCTTGTCACTCTGCAGAGGATTAGAATGTAGGACAATACGCTCGATCTTATCTAGAGTGTGGAGAGGTGTATATGATTTAATTTTTCGCACGCACGCGAGATCACTTGCTCCTTCTCTTATGACAGCGGGTTATTTGGATTGATAAGTCTTAGGATAGTCTAGTTGTTTATGATTTATTGAGTCAGAGTTGTTGTCTTATAGTTTTGTAGATTTATGAGAGGTTGTTGTCTTATTGTTTATGATTTATGAGAGTTGTTGCTTATATGTTTATGATTATGAGAGGTTGTTGTCTTATAGTGATTATGATTTATGAGAGGTTGTTGTCTTATTGTTTATGATTTATGAGAGGTTGTTGTCTTATTGTTTATGATTTATGAGAGGTTGTTGCTTTATAGTTTTGGAATTTATGAAGAGTTGTTGTCTTATTTTTTTATGATTTATGAGAGGTTGTTGTCTTATTGTTTATGTTTATTTATGAGAGGTTGTTGTCTTATTAGTTATGATTTATGAGAGGTTGTATGTCTTATTGTTTATGATTTATGAGAGTTGTTGTCTTTATAGTTTATGATTTATGAGAGGTTGTTGTCTTATTGTTTTATGATTTATGAGAGGTTTGTTGTCTTATAGTTTATGATTTATGAGAGGTTGTTGTCTTATTGTTTATGTTTTATGAGAGGTTGTTGTGATGATTTATGAGAGGTTGTTGTCTTATTGTTTATGATTTATGAGAGGTTGTTGTCTTTATAGTTTGTGATTTATGAGAGGTTGTTGTCTTATTGGTTTATGATTTATGAGAGGTTGTTGTCATTATGTTTATGATTTATGAGAGGTTGTTGTCTTATGTTGTGTTTTTGAGAGTTGTTGTTGTCTTATAGTTTTATGATTTATGAGAGGTTGTTGTCTTATGTTTAGATTTATGAAGAGGTTGTGTCTTATAGTTTGTGATTTATGAGGGTTGTTGTCATAGTTTATGCTTGTCTTATAGAAGATCGTGAGTTTGTTTTATGAAAGTATGTTGACCCATAGGAGTTTATGAGTACGTGTTATGAAGGCATTTTAACTCATAGGAGTTTTTGAGTTTATGTTTTATGAGAGTTTGTTAAGTCATAGGAAATTATGAGTTGATGTTTTATGAAAGTATGTTACCCAATAGGAGTTTATGAGTATGTTTTATGAGGGTATGTTAACTCGCAGGAGACTGTGAGTTCATGTTTTATATGTGAGAATGTTGTCTTATAGTTTATGAGTTCGTATTTTATGAGAGTATGTTGCCTTATAGTTTATGATTCCATGTTTTATGAGAGCATATTTCCCTTTAGGAGTTCATTTCATGCTTCATGAGAATTTGTTGCCTTACACATTATCAGTTCATGTTTTGTGAGGGTTTGATGCCTTATGTTAGTTTATGAGTTCATGTTTTATGAGAGTATGTTGCCTTGTAGGAGATAATGAGTCCGTGTTTTATGAGAGTATGTTGCTTTATTGGAAAAAAAAGGAAACAAAACAAAAAGACAAAAAAAAAGGAAGCGGGAAAAATAGATAGTGTTGTTTCGAGTCCAAAATTTGTTTCCTCCTCGGGCGAAGCAAAGTGAACGAAATGGCGACTTTTTTCGTCTGAAAAATGAATTATAAATAGAATAACGAATTAATACATAAGGAAAAAAAAACACGGGAATATTCCGAAGATTCTATGGCAATGTTACTTTTTTTTAGATTACGGGGAAGCCATGTGCAGCGAAGAGGCATTAGGCAAGGTCATGGTTTTTTTTTTTTTCTTTTTTTTTTTTTCACTTCGTTCTTTTTTGTTGTTTTTATCCCGTTCATCTGTTTTGATTCTGGCGGATTTGAAACTTCACAATTTATATCTTTTTATTTTTTATTAATTATTTGTTTATCTATTTATTTATTTATATTATTTATTTATTATTATTATTATTATTTTTTTTTTTTTTTTTGGTCTAGGTACGTGCATTATTATATGCATCTTTGTTCATGTTTCTTTTCGGATGTGCCATGATAGGCGGAGGGAGGGGGAGGGGGGTAAGAAGTAGGCATCAAGCACAGAATATACGAGAAGGAACTTTTTTTTTTTTTTTTTTTTTTATTTCTGAGGTATTTCTGAGTCTCTTTTATATGAGTGTCGGGCAGTTGAAATTGTGTGAGGCCCGACCCAATAAATAACCATATACGCACATTAATTGATTAATTAAAACTGAAATCAATGCATATCTAATAGTCTAGACATGCATATCAATCGGACGAATAGATAGGTAAATATATATCTACCGGATAGATAGACAAATATGCATCTATTTCTTTTTATATGCCTGTTCGTCTATATGATTATTCACTTAACAAACTGGCTGAATAGTGTAAAATTGTAATCGAGATGTCAGTAGTAAGTAGTCCAGGAAAAATAGCATATTTGTACATATATGTGAACGTTAGGAAGAGAAATTACGCACAAATATTTTAATTGGATAAAAAAAAGAATGCGTGAATTAAAAAAGAAGGGATGAAAAAATACAAGAAAATGAAATTGGGAACTTGTATGTAGACTTTTTCTCTTTTCTATTTATTTATCTATTTATCCCACCGAGACATATTTTTGCACAAAAAGAAAGCAGAGATTGCACTTTTTTTGTTCTTGTTTCTATTTATCTCTCCTATCGAGGCGATGTACTGTACTTTTGAGAAAGTGTTTATTGACAAGTACAACCCCACACTAAATTTTAATATATACATGAATACCTTATACCAATTGAAATCCACATATAAGTACATTCCTACACAAAATTCGAATATATGCATAACTCCCTCATACTAATTTAATCCCACATACAAGAACATTCTTACATTAAATCTTAATGTATGCATAACTATACTAAATTTGAATATATATATTATACCAATTTCATTCCACAGACAAGTACAACCCTACGCTAAATTAGAATATTTTTTATAACCCCTCTTCTCCCCCCCCCTCCTCTCCCCCCCCCCTCCCTACTCTTCCCACCCTCTCCCTCTCCCTACTCTACCCCCCCCTCTCCTCTCCCTACTCCCCCCCTCCCTCTCCCTCTCCCTACTCTCCCCTCTCCCTCCCTACTCCCCCCTCCCTCCCTCTCCCTACTCTCCCCCGCCTCCCTCCCTCTCCCTACTACTTCCTCTCCCTCTCCCCTCCTCTCCCTACTCCCCCCCTCCCTCTCCTACTCTCCCTCCTACTCTCCCCTCCTCTCCCTCTCCCTACTCTCCCCTCCCCTCCCTCCCTCTCCCTACTCCCCCCCCTCTCCCTCTCCCTCTCCCCCTCCCTCTCCCCCCCTCCCTCTCCTACTCTTCCCTCTCCCTACCTCTCCCCCCTCCGCCCTACTCTCCCTCCCCTCTCCCTACTCCCCTCTCCCTCTCCCTACTCCCCTCCCCTCCCTCCCTACTCTCCCCCCCCACCCCCTTTCCCTACTCTCCCTTCCCCCTCCTCTCCCTCTCCCTCTCCCTACTCTCCCCCCCCCTCTCCCTCCCCCCCAGGCCTCACAGCTCTCTCCCTGGCGGCGTCTCACGGATACAGCAACCTCACCCTCCTGCTGCTGAAGGCCAGGGCGAACACAGACGTGGTCGATACAGCGAGTAAGTCTGAAAGGATTTTTTGTTCGTGTGGCAGGATGTTGTAGGATTTTTTATTTTTTTTATTTTTTTTTGGGGGGGGGCTTTTGTTTAGGATTTGGGGATAGTTGTGAAGGGCTTTCTTTACTTTTTTTTTTGGGGGGGGGCGGTAGGATTTTTATTATTATTTTTTTTTTTGGGGGGTAGGATTTTCTTTGTTTATTATTATTATTATTATTATTATTATTATTATTTATATATATTTTTTGGGGGAGGTTAGGATTTTTCTTTATTTGATTATTATTTTTTTGGGGGGGGGAGTAGGGATTTTTTTTTGGAATTTCACATGGGTCTTAAGGATTACGTCTGTGTGGTGGAGATATCGTAACTTTTCTTAGTCTTCTTCTTTTCTTAAGATTTTTTTTCTTGAAGATTTATCAGGATTCTTATAAATGTCTCTCATTTTTTGGGGAGAAAGAGAAGGATTACTGTAGGATTTTTAAGGGATTTTTAAGTGTTTTTTTATTGGATGAGATCCTTTTGTAGTTTTTTTTTCTTTTTTTTCTTTTTTTATGTTTTGTAGGATTTTGAAGGATTTTTTTTTTGGGGGGTTAGGATTTTCTTTATTTTTTTTTTTTGGGGGGGAGGGGAGTAGGATTTTTTTGGAATTTCACATGGGTCTTAAGGATTACGTCTTTGTGGTGGAGATATCGTAGGCTTTTCTTCTTCTTCTTCTTAAGATTTTTCTTTCTTAGAGATTTATCAGGATTCTTATAAATGTCTCTCTTTTTTGGGAGAAAGAGGAGGATTACTGTAGGATTTTTAAGGGATTTTTAAGTATTTTTTTATTTTTTTTATTGGATCAGATCCTTTTGTAGTTTTTTTCTATTTTCTTTTTTCTTTCTTTTAGATTTTGTAAGATTTTGAAGGATTTTTTTTTGGGGGGGTTAGGATTTTCTTTATTTAATTTTTTTTTTTGGGGGGGAGGGTAGGATTTTTTTTTTTGGAATTTCATATAGGTCTTAAGGATTACGTCTGTGTGGTGGAGATATCGTAGGCTTTTCTTATTCTTCTTCTCCTTAAGAATTTGTTTTTTTCTTGAAGATTTATCAGGATTCTTATAAATGTCTCTCTTTTTTAGGGGGAAGAGGAGGATTACTGTAGGATTTTTAAGGGATTTTTGAGTATTTTTTTTATTGGATCAGATCCTTTTGTAGTTTTTTTCTTTTTTCTTTCTTTTAGGTTTTGTAGGATTTTTAATTTTTTTTTGGGGGGGAGGGTTGTGATCGTAAGATTTGCATTTTGTGATTGATAAATTTAATCATTCATTTCTTCATTAATTTATTGATTGGTTTATTAATTCCTACATCGATTCACTTATCTATTCATTTAATTATTTATTTACTCAATAATGAATTGATTTACCTATCCATTTGTTCATTCAATAATTTGATCATTAACTTATTTGGTTATTCATTTCTATATCTATCTGTCTGCCTTTCTATATGTCTGTCTACCTCCCTACCTACCTAGCTATCACCCTCCCTCCCTATCTACCTACCTACTTACCTACCTCCCTCCCTCCCTACCCACCTACCTATCTATCCCTCCTACCGCTCTCCCTACCTCCCTAACCTACCTTCCTTCCACCCTCCCTCCCTCCCTCCCTCCCTACCCACCTCCCTCCCTCCCTACCTACCTACCCACCTCCCTCCCTTTCCTCCCTCCTTCCCTCCCTTCCTCCCTCCTTCCCTCCCTCCCTCTTTCCCTCCCTTCCTCCCTCATTCCCTCTCTTCCTCCCTTCCTCCCTCATTCCTTCCCTTCCTCCCTCATCCCTCCCTTCCCTCCCTCCCTCCCTTCCTCCCTACCCAACTATCTACCCATCTATTCCAGACCGCTCCCCCCTGTACCTGGCGACGGAGAGCAACTACACAGAGGTCGTCTCCCTCCTGCTGTCTCGCTGCCCCAACCTCCTGCTTATGGACAACCTGCGTGAGTGTGAGAGGCGTGGAGGGGAGGGAGGGGAGGGAGGAGGGGAGGAGGGAGGGAGGGAGAGGAGAGGAGGGGTAGGGAAAGGGAGGAAGAGAGGGAGGGGAGGGATGGAGGAAGAGAGGGAGAGTAGGGGAGAAGGAGGGAGGGTGAGGGTAAGGGGATGGAGGAGGGGAGGGAGTAGAGAGAGAGAGAAAGAGAAAAAGAGAAAGAAAGAAAGAGAGACAGAGAGAGAAAGAAAGAAAAAAAGAAAGACAGAGAGAGAGAGAAAGAAAGAGACAGAGAAAGAACAAAAGAAAAACAAGAATATCAAACATACTAGACCAAGAGAATCAAAATGAACACCGTCAGCGTATTCTTTCCAAATCGCTCAAAATCAAATTTATCTAAACGTTCCCCTCCACACGTTTTTTTTTTTTTTATCCTAACGTTTTTTTTCTTTTTTTTTATCCTAACGTTTTTATTTATCCTAACGTTTGTTTTTATCCTAACGTTTTTTTCTTTTATCCCAGGAAGAGAACTAATCCATAACCAAACCACACCTTAAGCTTTTTTCTTCTTCTTTTTTTCTTTTTTCTTTTTTTATTTTTATCCCAGGAAGAGAACTTACCCATAATCCCCGACTCACGGGAAAGGCTAGATCAGTAGCAACTCGAGGAGGTGTCATGGCGTCTGATTCCTATTTAAAAAAAAAAAAAAAGTTACGGATGCTATATGAAATGGTCGATCATTTTGGTCTCTTCAACTTTCAAAAAATGGATGGAAAATAATGAATTTAATGGTTAAATTTAAATTTAATTTCCATCGAACAAACATCAAAAACAGACGCCATGACACCTCCTCGAGTTGCTACTGATCTCGCCTTTCCCGATGTCCTCCACCAGACAGAACGGCGCTCGACGTGGCGGACATCGAGGGCTTCACTCGCATTTCGGAACTCATAAAGGGTGTGTTATCTCCAAATGATCATTTCTTGCTGTTCTTTAGCATTGACTGGAAATTTTTTAATATATTTTGTCTATTTTTTCATTTCAAGTTTACATATTGCCCATTTTTTAATATTGTATCTGTTCTATTTAGACAAATAAAAAATGCACAAATAATAACGTTTACATATTGTCCATTTTAAATATTGTATCTGTTCTATTTAGACAAATAAAAAAATGTTTCAATATTCTGTTCTTTACATATTTTGATTTGTGTCTTTTATATTGTACCTGTTCTTAGACATAAGAAAAGTATATATATCCTGTTCTTTACAAATTTTGCTTCTTTAATTCATATTATACCTGTTCCTCTTAGACAAATAAAAAAAAAGCAATTCTATATATCCTCTGCTCTATACTTTTTTCCCACCAATAAAAAGACAAGCGATTCTTCAAACTTTTCCCGTTTCTTCGTTATAATAAAAAGACCCAATTAATGGTATTTTTCCCTCCTTTCTCCCCCAGTCCACCAAGTTTTTTGTTTTTATATTGTACCTGTTCTTAGACATAAAAAAACAGTATATATATATCCTGTTCTTTACAAACTTTGCTTCTTTAATTCATATTATACCTGCTCCTCTTAGACAAATAAAAAAAAGCAATTCCATACATCCTCTGCTCTATACTTTTTTCCCACCAATAAAAAGAGAAGCGATTCTTCAAACTTTCCCCATTTCTTCGTTATATAAAAAGACCCAATTAACGCCTATTTTCCCCTCCTTTCTCCCCCAGCCCACCAAGTTTTTTGTTTTTATATTATACATGTTCTTAGACATAAAAAAACAGTATATATATATCCTGTTCTTTACAAACTTTGCTTCTTTAATTCATATAATACCTGTTCCTCTTAGACAAAAAAAGCAATTCCATACATCCTCTGCTCTATACTTTTTTTCACAATAAAAAGAAAGCGATTCTTCAAACTTTCCCATTTCTTCGTTTATAAAAGCCCCAATTAACGCCTATTTTCCCTCCTGTCTTCGTTGTATAAAAAGACCCAATTAATGGTATTTTTCCCTCCTTTCTCCCCCAGCCCACCAAGGCCAACAGTGCGTCCTCGGCAACCACAAGTATATCCACAAGGACGTTGTCACTCGGGGATGTTACGTCATGGAGTGCCACTGCAGCGGGGACTGGACGGTCAAGCCACGCCCCCATCCCGACTGCGGTGAGGGGTCAGAGTTCAAAGAAAGGATCCGTTGCCTGAGGGGGGAAGGGGGGGAGGAGAGAGAGATCTAAGATTTAAGATTTAAGATCTAGTTTTAATTCCGTTACAATGGATACTCTTCGCTGTGACATATTGTCTTGTTTTATTTTGCGTTCCTTTGGATAGTCTAGATCCTTCTAGATTTATGGTCCAGATCTCGAAAGTACTGATACCAATTCCGAAGATAATTTCAAGAATTGAGTAATCATTAATATCAAGGACTATAACTTCCCCATTGCCATCTAAACGTTATTTCATCGGCCACAGTGATATTTAACTTTTCTTCTATCTAAACAAACATTTTTTTAGCCACAGTGATATTGACGAGCGACCCGCATTCCAGAGCACAAGAGCGTGAGCGGCAGGGCGGCCAAGGCAGTGAAGGTCGGGATATGGATCATCGTCGCCCTGGCTATCCTCCTGGTGGTGGGCGTGAGCGTCCACGTCGTGAGGCGGACGCGGTACTAAGGGGCGGCTGTTCTCTCGACCTCCCTGTCCACCTGTGGCTGTTCCTACGACCTCCCTCTCCCCCCTGCGGCTGTTCTCTCTCCCTCCCTCCTCCCTTATGACTTCCCTCTCCCCCTGTGGTTGTTCTTTCAACCTCTCTTTTTTTTCCTGTGGTTGTCCCTACAACCTCGCTCTTTTCCTGTGGCTGTTCTCTCTCCCTCCCTCTCCTTCTCCGGCTGTTCTCTCTCCCTCCCTCCCTCTCCCTCTCTCCTGCGCTGTTCTCTCTCCCTCCCTCCTCTCTTATTTCCCTCTCCTCCTGCGGCTGTTCTCTCTCCCTCCCTCCTCTTATTTCCCTCGTGTTCTCTCGGCTGTTCCTCGAGCTCCCGTCCTCCTGTAGCTGTTCTCTCGCCCTGCAACGAAAACACTCGTGATCAGTAATTACAAAAGAGAGAATAAGAGAAAGAAATGAAAATAAATGAGGTATATGTTGTAAGAGAATGACGCACACCCGCGACCAGAAGTCCTGATCTGTGGTTGAAATTGCGATTATTTTTTCTGGATGTTCGAGAGTGGATTCGGACAAGTTCCAGGACTTGTGATCGCAGCTGTTCGTTCGGTGTTTCTTTCCTTTTCCCAATCTCTGAGAACAGAAACGCCAAGACCTATAATAAAGAATTATTATAAAATGAGATTTATATACATATACACACATATGGAATAAATATATAAATAAATTTCATATATATATATATATATATATATATATATATATATATATATATATATATATATATATATATATATATACATATATATATATATATATTATATAATATATATATATATATATATATATATATATATATATATATATATATATATATATATGTTATATTTGGGAAAGCGTAATACTGACAGCACTTAGAAATAATACGATTTAGGTTATTGACCGTTTGGAATTTCTTAGAAGAGGTGCCAACTGCCATAGAAAGTATGGAAGGATATGTTTTGGTGAGTTAGATTCACATGTTTTTCATCATATTATTTTGTCAGGATATTGCAAATATGTTACTGTGCTGTGAATTGATGTTGTTAAAGAGGGTAATTTTCTATATTACGTCCGCATAACCGATGTCGACGATTTTGGTATCGTTGGATTCCTCTCACTCTGTACAATCCAAATATGTAGGTTTTATTGCGCGGACCCCCCCCCCCGCAAGCGGCAAACTTGGCCCCGATAGTAGGGGCAACGATGGAGCGGCGGACGTAATATATAAAATTACCCAAATAATATAACCTCACAGTGAAAATAATCATGGTTATTCACATGACTTTCCATTGCAGGGGGCTGTGCCCCTGTGACCCCCCCTGGGGGGGCTGCCGCCCCCAACCCCGTCGAGGAAACAAAACCTCCACCACGTATTCACGGCAGGATAGAGCGTACACGAACTAGTTGCATCGAAAAAGGCGCAAAACCCGCCGACCCGACGAGGGCGGGTCACCGCTGCTCATCTGCTCATTGTATACATTGTTCATCCTGATTATACTACAATCGTCTCTGTATACAAAGCTGACTATGTCAAGGTTAGTATGCTGATTCAGCGGGAATGTTACGAGGTAAATGTAATACGTCCGCTGCTCCGAGATCGCCGATAACTGCACTCTAGCCTGCCGGGAGTACGTCTTTGTGTCCTCGGCGGGTTGGGGCTCGCAGGGGCAGCCCCTGCAATGGAACAACCATGGTTATTTTCACTGTGCGTTATATTATTAGTGCTATTTAACCCCGCATTTTCCCTGGACCCTTTCATGCCCTCCCCTGCTATTGGGGCCAAGTTTGTCGCTAACGGGGGGTTTCCGCGCAATAAAAACTATATATTTGCAATATGGAGAGTGAGAGGAATCCTACGATACCAAAATCGCCGATATCGGTTATGCGGACGTAATATAGAAAATTACCGTTAAAGAGAATAAGGATATTGTTGGTAAACTCTGATTATTGTGTGAAAACTCAGTTATGTTGTATTGAAAAAGAATTTAAGGAAATATTGTCTGATTGTTACAGAAGCAAGTTACCCTGTACTGTAAGCTGTGAAGGAATAATAGAAATAGAGGACAGCTGCAACAGGGAGTTTCAAATAATCCTATAGACTATTGGAAGGGCAGTAAGGGCGCCTACAATTTCAAGACAGAGTTTCAAGAATTATCGGATAAAGTCTCAAGAAAGTTTCAATATTGGTCCAGTTTCAGGTCTGGCTACAGGGCGTATCAAGATGTACAACGAGAACAGCATCAAGACCAAATTTCAAGTATGGGCTCAATTTCAGGTATAACGACATCCATATTCCTAACCGAAATAACCGTCGCGTTCAGGAGTCAGTCATAGCCGCCGCGATGGCCGAGTGAGGAGGGTGCTCGTATTCGGAGACGGATTTTCTGCGCGAAATTGCAACTAGCCAGGAAAAAATACTACCAGGACCTGACTGTGAGGTTGCACCACTTCCTGTGTGCTGCAGCGTCGCTGTATCCTCCGGCCTAGGACCTCCTGCCGGACGCACCCTGCCTCCTTCACATTCTGCGGCAAAGGAGCACCCTCCCTACTAATTAGCGGCATTAATCAATCAGGTTAGTACCTTAAAAATCCTAGGTTATTGTAGGTTATCGGCTCCGCATCTAGTTCGTGTGCGCTCTATCCTGCCGTGAATACGTGGTGGAGGTTTTGTTTCCTCGGCGGGGGTTGGGGGCACCCCCCAGGGGGGTCGCAGGAGGCACAGCCCCCTGCAATGGAAAGTCTTGTGAATAACCATGATTATTTTCACTGTGAGGTTATATTATTAGGGTAATTGGTATATTATTATATATATATATATATATATATATATATATATCGCACATATTTATACTCATAACAATAAAAATATCAAAAGCTATTATAAGGAAGTATCATAATAAAAAGTGAGATTTATTTTGCAATATTATCCACTGACGACAAATGGACAGTCTTTTGCAGCGAAACTAATTAGCTCACAAGAATATGAAATCGATCAAGTAACTTGAAAGGGAAGTGAGCTCAACCTATTTATAGAAATTATTTTGTGTCAAGATCAGGCCTATGTGTGACAACTGTCTGTTTTGGTGGCGATGGGGACACCGCTTCTTCTCCCTATGTCAGTCGATCTGTCTGTATGACTGTCATACGATATGGGGGAGGGAAATTTTTTACAGGGTCTATGCCAGGTGTCAAACATGTCTCTGCACCTATTATGATGCCCGGGTTGTTCGTTCCAATGGTGTGGAGTTGGGTATTTTTCGGATATGTTGTGGTTGGGTATTTTTTTTATATGTTGCGGAGGTTGGGTATTTTTTGGATATAATGCTGCGAAGTTGTGGATCTGAAAGGTTTGGGAAGCATGTTGGGTCGTGGTTGGGGAGGTAGGGGGCACGGGAGGGTAATAGGAGTGTGTGGGAGAATAGGAAGGGAGAATAAAGATAAGGGTTTAAGTTGAGTTTTGGGAGAAAGGGAGCAGCAGGGGGAATAAGAGAAAGATGAGGAACAGGGGGAGAGGAGAAGTGAGGGTAGGGGTCCCAGGGAGGTAGGGGATCAGGTGTGCCAATAGTTTGTAGGGGTTGAAGTCAAAGGAGTCGGGCGGTGTGGGGGGGGGGGTGGCACTGAGTGGAAAGGTGAAATCAGGGGAGTTAGGTGGTGTACGTGTTTGTTTGGGTTTCGGGGTAAGAGTGAGGTTCCTGGGACTGAATTATTGTGCGTGAGGGTTGTTCATGTGTTCATTACGTGTGCTGAAGGACTGCCCCCCTCAAAAAAAAAGATAAATAAATGAATAATAATACTAATAATAAATATTTAAATAATAATGGAAGAAAGAGAGAAGCAAAATGTGGGTGTTAACTACCGGTTCCAACAGTTATCACACGAAATGTCCCTTTGGCCCTATTTCCCATTTTAGTACATAACACGTAAAGGTTGTTTGGTTGTTAAGGCTGGGGTTAACAATAGCACCAGTATATCAACAGAGGAAGGAGGGAAGGATGGAAGGAAGGAAAGGAGGGAGGAGGGAGGGAAGGAAAGAAGGAAGGAGGGATGGAAGGAAGGAGGAAGGAAAGGAAGGAAAGGAGGGAGGATGGAAGGAAGGAGGGAAAAAGGAAGGAAGAAAGGAGGGAGGTTGGAAGAAGAGGGAGCGAGGAAAGGAAGGAAAGAAGGAAGGAGGGAGGAAAGGAAGGAAGAAGGAAGGAGGAGGAAGGAAGAAGGAAAAGAAGAAAGAAAGAAAACAGAAGATGGTGAGTCCAGCATGTGGATTTGCACTGTAGTCACTTCTGGGGCAGCGAGTAGCAGCGAGGATAAACTCTATGCCACTGACTTGTGCATGTGTGTATGTATGTTGAAGGAGTGTAGTTGTCCTTGTGTATGCGTGGTTCATTAGTGCATGAAGAGTAAGCACTAACAATGTATAGCTATGTAGAGAAATCTTGTTAGAAAATCATGCCAAACATTGTGACACAAGCAACAATAGTTTGTTTTTTTTACTTTTTTTATAAAATTGTTTTTTTTTTTATATAAAGTAGTTAACGCTACGTAACTATTGGTATCCCTGATATTCCATCTACTTTAGGGTATGTGTGACTTATCTGAATATTGCCAGGCATATTCCATCCCTTACGGAAATAATATCATCTCATGGTGAATCTATATGAATTCCGGAACGACTATTCGAGACAGGAATCAGAACGAGACAGATTCGAAACCCAAAAGACCAACCTAATATAACTACAAAAGTAAAAGGAAAAGTATATAAGTAACAGAATCACATGAGGTTCTGTTCGTTACTGAATGATTCGACATCCCTCCTGACGATACTTCTAAGTGGATCTTCACTTGTCGTAACGCAGGAAGTAAAATCGTGGCTTCATGTGGCGTTTAATGTGGAACGGTTTAACCTTCTTTGGAAAAGTGAGCGCGCGGTGTTGTCTCGTTGCCGGCTGAAGTGATACTGACTTGTTACCGGCCGTCGCGACTGGAACAGCTGTTTTCCCTTGCTAAAAACTATCACTTGCATAATCCTGTGAATAAAATATATCAATGTAATATAAGAGGAATTTAAGTATTTAAAGAATATAAATGCGAGTTTGTACAGAACTGTTTTAGCGATCGGTTACAGTTGGTATCTTCAGTAATAAAGATTCATTACATTAGTATTTTAAAGCAAGAAAACTCCCTCTCGCGAAAACAAAAAAAAAAGATCAAGGAACATGACGAGAAAAAAACATTAGTGAATCTCTGATAATTTGGCAGAGAATGAGGAAGGCAGAGGAACCGCCGCCAAGCACGGCAGGCGAGGGAGGGACTAACCAGGGTTGCCAAAATGCCGTAATTCGGTCCATTTGCAGTATTTTTTTACTCTACGGATCGTCCCCATACAATTTCATGCCGTACGAGGTAACCGCAGACGGCAGGAGTGAGGTAATATTACCTCACTCATTATTTAGTGCAAATTATGGTGATTTTGCCTAATTTATATTTTTACAATATGAAGGGATGTGTATAGTATGCATAGAAGACTTAAAAGCCGTTCTAACATTTGTGCATTTCCCATGGTATATCATTTATTTGCATTTCGAGATCCATTTTCATGACCTTCTTTCATGTCAGTCGAACGTTAGATCTACTCACGAATATGAGAAAGGTTCGGTGAAGTATTGCAGGCTTCTCGACGAAAGTTAAACATAGAGGAATGAAACAGTGCCATCGAAGGATAATGAAATAAGTATTTTGAGACTGAGCTGTTTCTCAATGAAATGCTGATCAAGCAGAATGCCGCCAAAGACCTAATTTAAAGACGGCTGGCTACACACGAAGGACTCTAAACCGCGGCTGAAGGTAGATGAGGATTCCTGTAAGGCTCTCTGCAAGATTGTCGTTCCACCCTCACCGCAGAAATCTCTGTCGGGAAACGTCATCAGTCTCCAATCTTCATTCCGCCTGTTTTCAATATACGCCACACTTCACTCTTCTGCGCCATTACCCTCCAACTCCATCAAAGAGTTTAAAGTATTAGAAAAGTTAAAATATGAGCACATTTGAAGCATATAGTATTATATCCAAGTTGCTTTTAAAAAACGGTTATTTTTGGCCTAAATGCCCGGCGTATGTTGAAGAAATAGCTAAAATATTTCAGTGAAATGCATAAACAGACGTATATTAGTAAGCTTTGAAGGTTCTTTAAAATGCAAGACCTTAAGCTATAACTCGTTTATCACATAAATACGACACTATGAAAAGAGATGCACACTCTGAGTTCCTGGGTGTAACTGTGCTTGAATAGTGTTACATGTGGTCCCCTTCGTACAGTGTTACAATGCCTGCATTTCGGTGTTTCCTAGCATTGTGGATCACGTTTACACAGGGTGGGGACGTGTGAGGAGCAAATGCTATGTGATAGACAATGGTCTGAGGTGGATTGTTGGTTAGGTTGGTGTCATGTGATGTGGTGCCACTTCGACTTGTGCTCTGCTTGGCCACTCCTTCAGCATGAGCAATAGATATGCACTTACACAGTACTTTTTAAAGTTCTGATACAAAGTACTTTTTAAAGCAGATACACAACCGATAATATACAAGTTTCAAATACTTATTCTTATATATCCTCTCATAAACCTAAAATGATATACGCTGTGGCCTTCACCCAATACATATATCTCTAAGTCGCTGAAATACATCATACCTGAATAAAGTCTATAGAAAACAATCTGGCGAAGTAATTCTTGCCTGAAGGATAACGGTGCGTCCTTCCCGAAGGCTGATCCGCCGGCGAAAGAGGCCTTCCGGTAGAAGGGACACGTTAATATAGATTTAATAATTATCTTTGGGAAATTCATACGTGTCGGGTTTCCCTTGGAGCAGTACTTCATATAAATCAATGTAATGTTGTTGTTTTTTCTTAAATAAAACTAATGCTCTGTACTTCATTTTTTGCATTATTGTGTGGTAATTATTTCCATTACCTTTCTCAGAAAAAAGTTGCTTCTCGTTAAAGGGAAACCTTTATTATTTTTGTCCCCCTTAGAATTCCCGTTCTCTGTGTAATCACGCTGAACACAGAAAACGTGCCGTAGTAGTGGCAACGCTGGGACTAACCTGAGAACGAGAAGGCAAAGGCCTGTCAGGTCAGGTAGAGTAAGCTCTCAGCTGGCCTTTCATCGCACGTACAAACACGCACACATGTATATATGTATATATATATATATATATATATATATATATATATATATATATATATGTGTATATATATGTATGTATGTAAGTTTATATGTGTATATATGTGGGGGGGAGGGGTTGTACATATTCATATACACATTTATAAAGACATGCATATAGACAAATATATATAAATACTCATGTATATGGATAACGCACACGCAAGCGCGCATACACATATTTGTGTGTGTGCGTGTTTGTCTGAGTGTGTATGAGCGCGCGCGCACCAATCTGCCTTTTCCCATGCCCGCCGCGATGCCCTTTCTCTTCAAGGACAAGGTGATTAGGTTATTTTCACCAGATACTTCTTATCCCTTGTTATGTCTCGTCTCCTGTTTTCACTTAACTAACAAGGGAATTTATGAACATCGAAAGTTACTGGATTGTTTGATAACAAATAATTATTTCGTATCATAATATCACGGTTACTATGGCAACAACATCGAGAGGCTGCCACACCTTTATTTTTTAAACATTTTATAGATTAATACGGGCTTAACCACTGAGACTCAAGATTTTATCAAATAAAACTATGAACCTGTAATACAACCCCGTTTTATTAAATAAGTACATTATCCATCCAGTATATTACTTTTTATTGTATTTTAATCTGAATCACTGCTACAGTGGGCGAAGGTCATTCGGAAACACGTACGTGTCTCCTAAGTCAGATACAGTGTCTGACCGAGTTAGTGTCACATTCGAGGTTGTGTGCGACAACTGATAACAGTAACAGCTGCAGTTCACTTGTAGCTGTGACTTGAAACAGGTAAGGATCAAGCAAATAGGTATTGTGATGGTAGTTGAGTGAACGATATAATGGGATAGTATCGTAGGCTTATATTGTGTGGTATTCAATGCTGTTGTGTTTCTTTCTCCTAACCAAGGCATAGGTTCGAAGGAATATTAAATGACTATAATTTGTAAGATTTTCCGTTTTATATCTAAATACTTTCTAGGCTGGGCAGATAACCCTTGTTCGCTAAACTTTTGTGTCCGTAACCTCAAATAATAACAATGCTTCGACCCAACCACGAATTTTCTTTCCGTTATATGTATATATTATATATGTTTTAACTTCACTAACTTTATAATTTCGTGATTCTGATAAGATTTGAATAACATCGATGTCGAGAGGTATATAAGAAAGCATTTGGTATTAAAGTTAAGCCAATTATATCTACGATACATTATTTGAAAGGTCGACATGTTTATTTTAGTAACAAAAACAATGACAAACTCAATCTCGATTTATCATTGTGGAACATAATTATGGTTATTTTTATTATCATC